AGAGAGAGAGAGAGAGAGAGAGAGAGAGAGAGAGAGAGAGAGAGAGAGAGAGAGAGAGAGAGAGGAAGAAAGTCCATCTAGGTCAGAGGATAACTGGCAGGAGTCTGTTTTCTCCTTAATCCCGTAGGTTCTAGAGATTGAACTCAGATCATAAGGTTTGCCAATGGACATTACCCACTGGACCATCTTGTCAGCTTTGTTCGTTCTTGAAAGAGTTTCACTTTGTAACTCAGGCTAAACTTGAGCTCATAGCAATCTTACCATAACCGTCTAAATGCTACAATTACAGGCATGAAGCACTATGCCAGCCCAAATAAGTATTTATTTGGAAAATATATCTTACCATTATCCTATGCCATACACAAAATCTGTCTCCAGTTGACCATAGATTCAAATTTCAAAGATAAACCAAACAATGTTCTAGAAAATGACATGGAAAATAGCTTCATAACTTCGGGTAGTCAAAACTATTAAGGATAAGAAGAATAATTGGACTATGATGAAATTAGAAATTTATCTTTACCAGAAGAATATGTAAGAGCTGGCATGGTGGTGTATACCTGTAATGTCAACACTCAGAGCTGAGACTGGAGACTCTTAAGTGACTTAGGGAGACCTTTCCCCTTGAAAGGCTGCAGAGATAGCCCATGGCCCCAAGTTCAATCCCCAGCAAGGGGTGAGGAGAACAGAAAACCAACAAATTAGAGATGGAGACATTTACAACCTAAAGACCTCCCTGGTCACAAGTTTCACTGGGTTGAGGGTTAATTGAGATATAAGATCTGGAAGATCACAGTGCGTGGCACACAGAAAGAGGGAGCTTATTGTGAAATTATTGTCAGGAAGACGTGCTACTTACAGGCACGATCGATGGTAAGCCTTTAAGTTGGTAGAAGGCACTAAGCCCTGTGCCTTCTGTTTCAATACAAATTCATAATTATTTGACTAGGACAGGAACAAAGTGATTGACCTCTTGAGACGTCACTCTTGTTCTGTGTCTTCTGTCAAGTCTAACATTATTTCTCTTCTACTGAGAGACTGAGACAGAGGACTCGCCCTCAACCACTCCTCAACCACTAGGTGGATCTCCCTGTGTTTTTTTTTCCCTCCTTCCCTCCCTCCCTCCCTCCCTCCCTCCCTCCCTCCCTCCCTCCCTCC